TTGTTATTTCCAAAATCAATGATTTTACTTTTAAAAATAAAACAGGGAGTCACTGTCAGTCTCCTTCTTCTAAACGTTGGGCTCTGAAAATGTCTGAGAATTATAGTCAAACAATATCACATTATAGTAAAAAATTATAGCCTTTAACTCATTCATAAATAAACTAGCAATTGAGATCTTTATGAAAAATAACTCAGAAGTTAGGACAAGCGACTTTGGTTCTTCGTGGCTAGTAAGGTACTTGTGAAGGAGTAGAAGGAAACAGATGGGTTCAGAATGCTGGGGCCAGGACTCAGAAGTATGGTCTTTTCTTGAGGAAAAAGTTTTTAAAAGGAGCGGAGTGCAGGGCTCCCATTTATAACGTGAGAAATCAAAGGTGAAGTGTGAGCTGGAGACATCACTCACAGCCTCGCAGCAGGAGGGAGCAGCTCGCCTGGGAGGTCCAGGCTTGAACAAAATGCCAACAATCAGGGGTGGGGGGTAAGGGAGGAGGGTGCCGCTCCTCAGGTGGAATCCAGGCATTGGACCCACTGGAGTGGGACGAGGTGGTGCGGGCCAAGGAGCAGAGAATGCGTGGCTGGCTCACTGAACGGAGACAGCGAGCACAAGCAGAGGCGGAAGCCTTTGGGGAGGTGGGAAATAGGTTAAATTTTGATAAGTTACATTTGAAGCAGCTGAGGGGTCTCCGAGGAGACGCGATCAGCAGACAATTAGAAATGGAGGTTTGTGTTTGAGAAACGAGGTCACATGCGAGACCAGGGGTCTAAGACCCCTGGCTCTTACAGCGTCTTCAGGTGTGAACACTGGGGATCACTGTGTGACACCTGCAGTTCTGGGGTTTATTAGCAAGAATGCCCAATGAGTTAATCTGCTTAACCTTTATGATGATATTAGTGCAACAGTGAAAGCTCCAAGCCTAGACATACAATGTTCACTGGAGACCACCCTGCAATTTTGCTTTCGACTAGTAGCAGGGGTACTTTCTAAGGAGTATAGACTTAGGAAAAGAGCTGGAACCTTGAGGTCAGAGCGGGCTCAGATCTGAGCCTGGCCAGTTCTTAGGTGAGTTACATTTAATAAATGATTTAACTGCTTGGAATCCCAGTTTCTTCACCTTTAGAGGAGGATAAGGGGAGTGGCCTTAGGGTTGCTATGAAGAGAGGTGAAACATGCTGTCCAGGGGTTGAATTCTGCCCGTGCCATTCATGTGTGACCCTGGCTAAGTTTCTGAACCTCTCTGGGCCTCAGTTTCCCTACCTGTAAAAGAGGGGTACCCTCAGTACCCACCAAATAGGGTTATTGTGAGGATCTAATGAATTTTCCAAGTAGAGGAGAAAATGGAGGGAGAGAGCAGCTGGTATGGGGATGACTGTTAGCCTAAAAGCCAGGAGACATATCTAAAGTCTGCCATGATAAGCTTTTTTCTAAAAGCTTAAGAAGATAAAATTATTCCTAAAATTGTTCAGTGTTATTAGTGATTTTGCCTTATATGTTTTAGAAATCACTCTGAGAGCATGTTTCAGTAGGATATACAAGTACATAACTGCCCTTCTCAAACTCACTATGTGTCTTGATCATGCAAATCATGCTTATTTCCTTGAAAACACTTCTAACAAGTGTGGCAATGTCAACCCTCATTAATTTTGCAGTAGGTAGCTTTTGGTTGACCTTTCTAGACTTTGCTGTTGTGCCATCCCGAGCAGCCACAGTGTCCAGTTGTCTGCCATATGAAATCTAAAAATTGCTCAACAAAACAGGAGAGGCAGCATGAATTTTTCACTCTTTCCTCAGTAAGCCAGAAATCATTGATTTCTCACAACAGAAGGAAAATTCCACCTTACTCAGTGAATCCTGACCCCATTAGCACCCCCGGTTGTTACCACACCCTGTTCTGGGTCACTGTGTCCATCGCACGACAGTGTGAAGACAGTGTCAGCTAGGCGCTCTCTGCCTGCCTACTCCACACAGCAGGGGGACAGGAAGGCTCTGATACTTTCTGTCCACCTCTGGAGGCAGAGCCCCACTGCACTCCCTGCCTCTGCCGCTCCAAGAACCCGCCACCATGTATATGTTCAAATAGTGCTGCTTCAATATCTACTCTTCAAGTATTACAATAATCCATTTATGAGACAAAAATGAAAGCAGTCATTACTTACTCCATTCCCTGTGCCAGCCCTCTCTTTGCTGTCTCTGCGTTGAGTCAGTGACTGGGGCATGCTCTCCAGTCTTCCACTCTTTCTGCAGAGAGAATGAAGCATGACCCCAAGGACAGGGGGAAGGCGCAGGCAGAAACCACAGAAACCATCACTGGACGCCACACTGGGGAGACTCGTAGTCCTGGCGAAAGAAGAACGATTCTATTGTTCTTTGCCCTGGGCAGGAGCAGGGGCAGGGCAGCCTCCGGCTTCAGGAGGCTGTAAACTGGAACAGCTGGAAAGTCATCTGTCCAACCACTTCTTCTGAGACAAGGACACTGGAGCGCAGGGAGGGGAAGTGTCTGCAGATGTCACACTGCTCACCAGGGATGGAGCCAGGCCTCCTCGCTCACTCCAGTGCTCCCTTCTTTACATCGTCCTTTCACACAGCACAGATGGCCTCAGATTTGAGAGTCGCTAAGGAACAGGGCACGGTTATTCTTTCTTTTCTGAGGAAAACAAATCACAGATCTGAAAATGTACCATACTCAGGCACTGTTTTACATTCGAAAAAATTTATTGTGACTACACTCTGTAGGGGATAAGAATGAGCCACCCCAAAATGTCTCTCTTTGGCTTGATTATTCTTAAGGACAAATGACTGAAAGAAACTTTGACCTTCCCTCTAACTGCCTATAAGAATTTAAGACAGAAGGCCTGTCCCCATCACCATAGATAATTCTGAGTATGCTAGACTGGGAGGATCCTTGCTAAGCCCATTTTTATCAAAGTTCTCTCCTTCTCTCTCTGGTCATATTGTCTATGGATGGCCCAGCAAACATTTGTTTATCAAACATTTGCTTTCCCATCTCCACATAAATTGCCTTCTTCCCCTTTGAAACACCAAACCACTACCCCCAAGGACTCCCTTTGTCTTTAGCTGAAGATGGTATTTAAGGTAGTGGCTTTGGCCATTTTGGTGAGTTACTCAGTTTTCCTGGGTTTCTCTCATGTATACATGTTATTAAACTTTGCTTCATTTTCTTCTGTTATTCTGTCTCACGGTCAACTTAATTCTTAGACCAGCCAGAAAGACCTAGAGGGTAGATGAATTGTCTGCCTATCCAGAACTCTCATTAGAATATGCTTGGCCTTGCATTAGACACAACTCATAAATGAGAATAAAAAGTTAAAATCCACCCAGAGAATCACTCGTGCACTCTCCTAATCTACCATCCTAGCTTCACCTCTAACTACACCTGATTCCTCCCCCTTTTCTCATAGCAATATTTTCTTATGTTTCTACCTTTGCATGTGCTGCTTCCTCTCCTAGAATTCTCTTTTTCTCATAAATTGACTCATGCTTCAAGTTAAGAGGTTTCTCTGTGTGATCTTCCCTTTCCATTTCTGGTCCCATGGGTGTTTGCATGCGCTACATTCTAGCACCCCATTAAGTTTAATTATTTGGATGTAACACTGTCTCCTCAGGCAGTAGGATCTTCTTAGTATTGTCCCAAGCCCAACGAATGCTCAGCAATAGGCTTCCCCCGTATTTTTATGGAATTAGATATAAAAAAGAGACCAAAGCAAAGGAATGGTGAACAGAGGATTCACTACAATGGTTACTTCCAATGGGGGAGGCTGACTCTTGTTTGGATGGTGAGTTTGTGGGTCCTTGTTACATATTTAAAAATTAAGTAAATAATTCTGTATCACTAAGGTACAGTAACCAGGGATTATTCACAGAAGATTGGCCTGGTTGGTATCAAATCTTGCATTACTTGAAAGACAGCCCTGGGGCCAGCCCGTGGCTTAGCAGTTAAGTGTGTGCCCTCCGCTGCTGGCAGCCTGGGGTTCGGATCCTGGCGCACACCAACGCACCGCTTCTCTGGCCATGCTGAGGCTGCCCCCCACATACAGCAACCAGAAGGATGTGCAACTATGACATACAACTATCTACTGGGGCTTTCCGGGGGGAGGAAAAAAAAAAGGAGGAGGATTGGCTCCTCCTCAGAAGAGTCTTCCTCAGCTCAGAGCCAGTCTTCCTCAGCAAAAAGAGGATTAGCATGAATGTTAGCTCAGGGCTGATCTTCCTTACACACACACACAAAAATAATGAACAAAAAAGAAAGAGAGCCCTTTCCCATGCTTCTATTATCAGTTCCTCCACAAAGGTGGCTCTTCGACCTTGAGTGGTCATAAGTCCACTGCATGGAGCTGCACGGGAGACTCAAGGTCACCCCCTCTCCATGCCCTGGGCCTCATCTATGCACCAGGACTCCTGGTCACCGCACGTTTTGAGCGTGGGCAGTTTGTTTCCTTCTGTTGTAACAGAAACAATTCATATGCACCGGTTTAAGAAAATCCCCAGACTCGGGTATTCAGCGACGTGAACTCAGGGTGCTCATTTTGGGTCTGATCACCGCAGCCAAGAGCCCATATTTATTCGGCGCCGACACGTGCACGAGCATCACGGCCAGGACGTAACAGGCAACTCCACGTCTCCATCGTACACGGGGCCCGGCTTCTCCGAGGGACGGCCGCCCTCCGTTGACACTCGCCCCGCCCGGCCACGGACCTTCTCCCGCGAACAACCAGCCCGCTCCCCGGCGCAAGGGGCGGCCGCCGGCCCACGTCGCCCCACGCCGCGCTCCGGAGCTCCCACGCGGGCCCGCGGGGAACCGCCATGGCCAATGGGCGGAGCGCGCCGAGTCCCGCCCCTCGCCGTCGATGACGTCACTGCGACGCCAGGGCCGCGGGGGCGGGACCGTCCTGGGCCAATGGGCGGAGCGCGCCACGAGTCCCCGCCCCGCCGTCGATGACGTCACGGCGACGCCGGGGCACGGGCGGCGGGCGCCCAGGCCTCAGCCCCCAGAGGTCCGAGCTGCGCGCGCTGGGTCCCGGACCCGTCTCCGCGCGCGTGGTTGCCGTCGCCGCTTCCGCACCATGGCTTTCGTCACCAGGCAGTTCGTGCGCGCCGCGTCCTCCTCGGCCGCCGCCTCGGCCGCCGCCAAGAAGATCATGGTCAAGCACGTGACGGTCATCGGCGGCGGGCTGATGGGCGCGGGCATCGCGCAGGTGAGCGCCGGCCGCAGCGCCCCGCTCCGTGCCGCGCGCCTGGGCTGGGGCGCCGAGGGGCCGCCGCCTCGGCCGCCGCCGCCCCCAATAATGGGCAGAATAAAAGTTTGGCGGCGGCGGCGCCCAATGGCAACAGCAGCAGCAACTCCTGGGAGGAAGGCAGCTCGGGCTCGTCCAGCGACGAGGAGCACGGTAGGTGGCAGCCGCCCCGCGCCGCCCCCGCGCCCCCAGCCCGCCCCGCGCCCGCTGACCGCCGTGCTCTGCTTCCCCGCAGGTGGCGGCGGCATGCGGGTCGGACCCCAATACCAGGCGGTGGTGCCCGACTTCGACCCCGGTGAGTAGCGGCCCGGGCCAGCCGGCGGCGGGTGCGCCCCGGTCCCCAGCGCCCCGAGGGGGCGGGAGCCCTCGGACAACTTTCTTTTTTGTGTGTGTTCGCCCTGCCGTCCGCGGGGGGAACAGCAGGGCGAGAACGAGAAGGGAAACACACAAACGTGTGCTGCAAACGTGCCTGCGCGCACGGGGAGGGCCCGAGCCGCCCCAGCCGAGTGGGTGCCGCTGACCCCCTGCGCCCCCGGGGACTGGCGGCGGCGTCGGGGCGGCCACGCCTGGCCTAGGCTCCGGCGGTCCCGAATCCGCACGAGCCGCGCCTCGGTCCGGGTGGGGGTGGCAGTGCCGGCGAGTTGGCGCCTGCGAGCGCCCCGGACTTAGGACGCCGTGTGACCCGTTCTCCCCTACCCGGTGTTGTCCCCCGTGCCTTTTCCTTCTCCTGCCAGCCCCTGGGCTCCTGCTTGCCCCCGACTCCCCTCCTATCCCGAGGGCGAGTAGAATAATGACCCCGCAAAATCAGTTAATAAGAGAAGTGTGCTTCCCAGAGGGCGCCTGCCTGGGGAAGAGAGGCTTGTGGCACTTGGATTTTAGGACCTATTTGTAAGTGTGCGTGTATTTCCTTTTTTTTTTTCCCCCCTTTTTTTCTTGAAGGAAGGGGTTGTGAAAGAATAGAACCTTCAGAAGCTTTAGCCTAGCAAATGGTTTCCATCTCCAAGAAATGCTTACACCCTAGAATGAACATTTACTTCCCTTGCTGCTAGTCTGTGTGGAAGCAAATTTAAAGTGGTACCAGAAAAAATCCAATCAGACAAAGGAATTCGTCAGATTTTAATACATGAGATTCTAGGCCGTCTCCGTGTGAGACTGTCTTTAAAGATTGTTGGCATAGAAAATGTTTGAAAGGACGTGGGTTTCATTTCAGAAATAAAATTCAAAAGAGAATCTTGTGGAACTGGAGTTAACAGTTCTCCTGGTTGGAGGGCTTTAGAGCTCGAGGTTCTCTATGTAGGTTACACCACTAGTTTCTGTGAGAAAATAAGTGCATAAATGCTTTTCCTTGGAAACAAGACTGCAGAAAATTGCAAGGATCTAGTCCTTGAAAAAGGCGATTGCTCTTAAGCTGTTAAGGTACTAAACTCTGAGTGTTCTTTGAAGTGAAAATGCATGGGGATCCCTGAGTGAGCTCCTGGGGCACTCTGGAAATAAATCTTTCCCTTCTAAATTTTGGTCTGTTGATTTAAATCTCTTAAATTTATGTAGTGTAACACCCAGGTTTGTGTTCTTTTTAAACTCATGTTAGTTTCCCCTTCCCCCACATCTTCCTTTTTTGGTAGTCACTTCTCAGAGTGACAGGATAGGGCTAGGAGACCAGGCTTCTTCTCCATTCCTTGGTTGGCCACCAGGGGAAGCATACTGTTTTTTGGTTACAGTTGACCCTATCTTCATTTTGTAGGTCAAGTCCATCTTTGTTTTAATACGCAGAATGTAAAGCAAAGTTTGTCACCAGGTTTCCCCCACATATTTTTAAAAATCAACTTGAGCAAATCTTTTAGTTTTAGTATGTTGGTCAATTTTTGATACGTTTTGGTTATGTTAGTTTTGAAAGCTTTATTTAAATACGTTGGAGGGGCCGGCCCTGTGGCGCAGGCGGTTAAGTGCGCACGCTTCGCTGCAGCGCTCGGACCCCCGGGCGCGCACCGACGCCCGGCTTGTCAGTCCATGCTGTGGCGGCGTCCCATATAAAGTGGAGGAAGATGGCATGGATGTTAGCCCAGGGCCAGTCTTCCTCCGCAAAAAAAAAAAAAAAAGAGGATTGGCAGTTGTTAGCTCAGGGCGGATTTTACTCATAAAAAAAAATATGTTGGATGTGACTAAAGAAAAGGGCATATGGACAGCAACAACAAGAATTAGATTTCTGACGTTCTTCTCAAGATTGCTGTGTAGCTCTGCATTGTTAGTCAGGAACCTGACTTCTTTGGAGTTGTTCTCTTCATCGAAACAGCAAATGTAATAGGATCATACTTTGAGCTGTCATTGCATTTTTGATGGAATAGGTACAAGTATAAATTTGCTAGACACTTGCCATTCTAAAAGCTAAAACATCATACATGTTCTGCTCCATAGTCTTACTGCTAATTCATTGGGTCTTGGTGTTAACATTTCCAAATTTCCTATTTTGTGTTTGTTTTAATTTGAAAGGGAATCTAACTGCTATGAAACAATTTCAGACTGTTTTGCCAATCTGAGCAGTGGGACACATTCCCAGATATGGCTGAAAATTGTGGGATGTTACTATTTCCTAGTGATTTTTTTTTTTTTTAGGTGTGTGCACGTATAACTTAAGATCTAAGGGAAGAGAAGACTTCCATTTTGGAATAGAAATGGTATACCATGTTTGTTTCATGGCAAAAAATTTTTTTTGTAGGTCTTGAGACTTAAGACAGGTTCTTTCCATGAGTACAAGTTAGAAATAATGTGGAATTGAGATTGTGATTGTTAATGCTTTTTCTCTCTCTCTGCCTGAGTTTTGAATTTATCTTTTGTTTTTTAACCAGAATTTGGACAGGTGAGTGTGAACTTGTCAGAAAGCCTTTTTTAAAAAACTATTTCTTTTTTTTTTTTTTTTAAA